TGCCCTGACGATGGAGGCAGCAAGAACCTCTAAAATGTCTGTAAACTTCTACCAGACTACAAGGCGCAACAACCCAGATGACAGCCATCGTCAGACTCACAGCCGTGAGAACCTCAAATCCTGCATTTAGTAACAGGTTCACAAAGAATCTTCCTATTTGACCCAGTCCTCAGCCACCTGAATCCATTTTACATCATAACATCTTCTTCCTTTATGACGTATTTTAATAACTATCTATTTATCTGCCCTCCCCTACGTGTCTAAAATGATTTATCCTATTTATATTTTACAACTAAAATACAGCATTCGTTCAAATTTAATTATAAGTTCTCCATCCAACCTCAGCTTGTGTCAAAATATTCTCCTCTGCGTTTTGTTCTCAAACAAAATCTGTCTTTATTCCGTGGTAAAGAAACCATGTTACACCCAAAAATATATTGTTTCAAGAACCTTTTAATTCTAAGATATTCAGAGACTGGTTTCATCCAAAGCCATTCAAACAACTAAAGCATAATTTTGTGTATAGGACCAGTGCTTTCTGTTTGTGGTCCTGACGTTTCTACTAGTTTAATGCTATGTAAGTTACTTAAGTCCCTGAATGCTTTGTTACGAACATTTTATTTGTGCTAATAACAGGAATAATTAGACTGCAGACTATTAAATCTACGTGTGAGATGTCGTACTTGTACGGCGGCGTCTTGATTAAAATGCGCAACTTTGTAAGTTGTTTCCCTAAATTATTATTACCTGATTATCAGCAAAAATTAAAGAGGCCATTGTACTCTATTACATTACCCATGCATTAATTATAATCATTCTAAGGTTTTGTGAATTCGGGGTTCTGATACTGGATCTTTAATAGCTGAATTAGTACTCACACATTTTTCAACAAGACAGAGTATGAAAAGGACAAATTCAAATCTGATTTCTGTCGGTGCCTGTTTATAAAATTCATCATTTCTTCGAATCAACTGCTGTCACTAGCAGCACAAGGGTGCCTGTTCAGACTGATGTACAATAAACAAACACTACAAAGCAGATAGGAGGGAACGGCTAATACATTTTACTTGTATTAATAAGATTCAAGTAGGCAAATACTGTCGCTGTCGAATATCAAAAGTCACCTTAAAAAATTGGCTCTAATACCATCACCCCATCCTGCAATATCAGCACTTTCCTTTCTGCTCTTGCCTTTAATGCCGAGTGAATAGCCTAATTTAAGGAGGGGTTTCCAGTGGTGACATAATGATCTCTCATCCTTTCAAAGGACACGACACACTGCAACTTGATCCGTATATATTAACAGAGAACCAGATGTAATGATGTTGTCGTTAGGTACCAATCCGTCTTGTGAGTGAACCAGGGGGTTGGCAGTAACACGGCCCCTTGAATTGTGCATTTAGCTATTACCCATAGAGCGTTGTACAAGATTTTATTTTGAAGAATAATGGGGAGGTCATTTCTGTCTGTTTATCTCTCCACACATTTCACCTCTGTAACTACTGAATGACGACTTGTCTACATTAAAAATTAAGTAAAAAATGTAGGTTTGCATTAACCAAATATAAGCCTACATATCAAAAAGAACATAAAAAGTGCTCGTCGTAAAGATAATTTGTATACAACATAAAATGTAAACAACATTAAGATAGAGACAGGCCCACAATATTTATTAAAAATAATTATTTTATTTATTTTAGGACATGAAATGGAAATAGAACATGTATCATCCAACAGTATATACGTTTATCTACTTGATATTAGGTCTGCAGTAAATGCACATTAATAATACTGCCCAACGTGAATCTGCAAAGAACTCATTAAAATCAGTGCAAGCTGTAGCGAGTCAGGCCACGACTTTCCATTGTTATCTTTTGAGAAGTATATACAAATTTTATGTTGCCATGTGGCTACGATATTTGCCATTTTATTTCTACAACTAAAACCACCGCAGTCAGACAAGTAACATTTTGCATGGAGACACATCACAAACGTCCTAACAAACTGCACAGGCTATGAAGCATTGGCCTATTAAGGCTATTATTAACAATTACACACATGGCGACAGTCCGCAATTTTAAGATTGCATCTGGAAAATGTATCCTAGTAGGAATCTGTAATATAGATGCAAATTACAAATATTCTTAAAATTATTATTTGTTGCCTGTAAAATTTATGTTTCTTCATAACCTTGCCACAACCTGAAGAAAATTTGTCACCATAAGTTTGTTGTTAATATGAAATAAAAATGCAATTGCGTTGTATTGCAGGCCTACACCAGGCCTACTTTAAGTGATTCCATATTTTTCTCCATTCTTGTTGTTCAAATTTCAGTCCTTCTGATGCTGTTTACTGATTGCCTACGTGCACAATAATTACAAGCTATGCTGTCAATGGAGAGCACAATATAACAGAAGGAAGTTGTGTAATCCGAATTTGTTTCGACACCTTCTATCTTCTATAGACTTTAATATCACTGAACAATGTTTCCATTAACCTTGTCTAAACAGCAAACAAAGATCTATAATAAGCTGAAACACCCTCACAGGAGTTGAAAAAAGACTATCATTTCATGATGCTTTATCTTGAATCTCCATAAAACGCAGCATAAAATTCAGAGTCCAGAAAACCAATTTCACAAAATTGTTGGAACTTCTAATTATAGAGCCTTCAGTTCTTGTTTAAATAAACCGTAACAGGGCAGTTAGCTTAATTCTGTGAGACTTTAATAAAACGTATTCAAGCGGAGGGTCATCTTTACGTGTCGCAAACGTGACAAACAGAACACGGACTACAGCTTCTACTTTCAACTCAACAAGTGGCTAAAACACAATGGCGTCATAGAGGTTAGGGACGGAAGGATTCCGGATCATTATTATTATTTTCTTTGTCATCAGGCCTGCGTTGAAAGTCCCTGATATCGTGGACACTTTACCAGGTGATATAACAGCCGGAGCGTGATGCTAACTTCTCCGCTTACGGCTTCAATTGCATTATTTCTGTACTCGTTCACAACCTGATTCCTTGACAGAGACACAATTTTTCATTTTCCCTTTGCATATTTCACATTTCTTTACTTATAATTTCCTTAATACGGCCTATTACTGGTCCCGTAGCCTACCTTGGAGAAACTTCAATTAGGACTAAAAGCTCTACCAACTAATATTTTAACAGCGCCCTATTAAGTTATCTTTTAGGAATCAAATTACATTCATTAAGTAGCAAAGAGAAATAAACCCCATACCATTCATTTCAGAATATTTTAATTTCCCGTCTTCAAACGCCCTGAAGATTCGAATGGATCTATAGACCTACAAATGCTCCACTCTTTTATGTGGCTATGGATTCTGGTCTTCGGCTGTTAGGGAAGAAAAGACTATTGCGTGCGTTTATGAATAAATTGCTGAAAAGAAGAGGCTATTTGAACCTAAGCAAGAAGAAATTACAGGAGAATGAACCTATTATTTGGGTCACAAAACTCAAGGAGAATCATATTTGTGGGATATACAGCACGGATGAATGAAATGAGAAATGCGTACGAAATTTTAATTCGAAGACCTGAATAAGAGATCTCCAAAACTTTAGTTGGAAAAGCTAACCTTAATTAAAGATAACTTGGGAGATCCAGGTGTCTATGAAAGGACCACACTGAAAAATGTCTGAAAGAAACAAGAACTGTACTGGACTGAATTGGCTCACCGTACGGCTCTTACAAACAGGATAATAAACCCTTATTCTCCTAGTAAGGCAAGGGATCCCTTGGCTAGCTAAGTCTGGCCTGTTATTAGCTTCTCAACAAGAACGCTTCACCACGGAGTCAGTTAATTAGGCTAATCACAGCTATGCTGAAGAAAAGTTATTTGCTCCAAGAGTAATGTGGCAGTTTTAACTCTACACCGCCACCTCGACGAAGGCTTCAAACATTGGCGTGTAATTAATGAGATGAGTTCCCGTAAAAAATCGGAACACCTAGGGTTTCCTTACTGTAAGAATAATAACACATTAACATCTCCAATGCTACGCACGAAATTTTCGATTTTTGTTTCCGGTTCCAATAAACACCGAATGATAGGATTATTAATGAAAAATTAAGTTTAAGTTAGGGAGAGACACACAAGAGTGTACAGTATGTCTACAAAGCTATAACTTGTATGCTTTGCAATAACAGCCTAGTGAAACTTCATCGGAAATCGAAGTATCAACTCTGTTAGGCTTTGTTTGTATATAGGCCTACTACTAAAACAAATGCAGAATATATTTAGCCTACTAATAATTAAATAACTGTCACGTACGACATTTTATAGAATTTCACATTTTCGTCGAACTGCAGATAATTGTTGCAGGAAAAGAACTTCGCATTCAAACATAGAGAACTATAATAGACTGGACACAATGCCTACACGTTAGAGAAACAGATCGTATAATTAGAGCAGCTATTTAACATTTTTTCTTTGTTTTTCACAAGTCATCTCTGAAGTAAAATACAAGCATTGGCCTAATTGTCTATTCTTTATAACTTCAATATTGGTTAGAATTAATGAAAACAAGACAACAGCTGGAACGTAGATAAAACCCAAAGTGCTGCTGACGTCTACTTTGGATTCAAAGATATCAAGATGGTATTTTAATTGTACAAGACCCATTCGAACTACATCAAATTTGGATTCGAGACATCGATAGACACATGAGCCACAGATTCAAGCACTTTAGGATTCCTGTTTCAAGATTCATGTCAATCCTAACGACCGCTATTTCTGGCACGGAACGGGCACTGTTATTCTTCAGGTTGCATGCGGAGGAGACCGCTTGAAGAGGACGGATGGCTGTTGACGCTGGCTGTCGCCGCCTACTTCACATCAGAAAACTCAACTAAAAGATAATTAGTGAAAGGTCCTGTGTTTGTGTGCGCGCTACATAACTTTTTGTTCCCTTCTCCTTTGTTTTTCTGAAGTAAAGATCTGACAAAGTGTCACGTTAGTCCATTAGTTTCACATGCTTGGTTGGGGCAAAGCGCTCCGACCTGTGGGGGGCTGAGCCGTGGTTGCGGTTGGTGTGATCGGCACACAGATAGGAGGAGTTTAAGCAAACCCGTTAACCAATCCGCGAGACGGAGGTGGAGCTACGCTTTATCCAGGTTAGGGTAGGACATGAAGCATCTTCAAGGCTCAAACTTACGAGGGCTTGTCGGGCGGGCTGTAGGGGAACACGAGGGGTGGTGGTAGACTGTTGGAATAACTCGTAAGGACCAGTACGCTTGTCGTGACAGCAAAGCTCGTTGGCTGCAGTCGGTGTGGAGCGGTGACGAGAAGAATTACCCTCAGTATCCGTAAACTTTCCTTCTTAAATGTCAGTGGTAACATGTGGACAGAGAGTCATCTCCCGTTTTCCTGAAAACAGTGTTCCAACCCTGAATCAACAAGAACTGATACATAAACCATATCTCAAATATCTATGTCCTAAACCAAAAACCGATTTCAACTTACTACACTGAGTGATACTACAAAATATTTTCAGTTTCCCCTCTCCCGGTAAAGCAATTCCACCAGTCACCTCCCCTCCACTAGTGCCACCACCCCTCAAGCCATTATCACTTCCGGCAAACGCTATTGGATAAACTTCAAGTGAAAAGAAGCTGATTTTAAAAGACGAAATCCCACCTCTGCGTCATCCCCTCTGCACTTCTACACCCCTCCCATTAGCTACAAGAATAATAATCATCAACAGAGTCGTCAGGGTTCCAAGAGGAAGAGAGTAAGTGTGTGTGTGTGTGTGTGTGTGTGCACGCTCAGAAATTTATCGGCTTTGATAAACCAGCGTATGACAGGCACCGGGCCGGCGCCTTTTTCCATCACCTGTGGCCGCGCGACAGTCTCGAGAGAAAGCTGAAGCGTGTGATATCTCCGTGTCGATTTGAATCGTGTGTCTTCATTGGAACCGAGGAGCGAAACAGTGACAACGTTCTCGTGATTGCTAACGGTATGTTAGCGAAGAGAAACGCTGCTGATGATGAATGGTATTTAGAGATACCAGTTTGTTGTCTCTTAACTAAACTTCGTTAAGTAACAAGAAGATTTAATAAAACTTTTGTAGGACATTTACCAAATGGCTGCAGGCATAGACCTACACAACATTATGGACGCAGATAAGCGCGCGAAAGCTTAACTGGACGCACAAATGTAAATTATTAATTGATTAAAATCTGTTTCTACCCGAAGGAAATTTGTGGTTAAGTTTAGAAAATTCCAGAGTACAGGACATCCACATGTGTAGTAATTTAATAATGGATGGTACGGAAGTGGTGCAAAGTACCAGCACCAAATCAGCTGTGAGTCCTTGCAACACGACAAGTCCTCTGTCTTCCCCGTCGTGCACCGCGCACAACAGTGGGACCTCGCTGGAGGATGGCGAAGACGACGGAGACATCAGCGTGGGCTGTCCATCTCCCGCGCCGTCGTGTCCTCAGCAGGTGGACACTTCTTCCAGCAGCTCGTCCTCGTGTTTCAGCAGCGCCCGCACAACGGTGGCCGAACAAGACACCCACAGCGAGGAGACCGTCGACGAAGACGAATACTTCAAACCCCTGAAGAAGCTCAAGATGATGCAGATCAACAAAGTGGCTGTCGCCTTGACGACAAACCATAAACAGTCGAAGACGAATGTGACGGTAGCTCCGTTACCGGCCTCGAGGCACATAAACAGCAACCAAAGCACCGGCGTCAAGTCGTTCTCGATACTGGACATTCTGAATCACAGGCCGCGGACTAACACGAACGATCGAGCCGTTTGTGAGTCGAACAGCGCGAGAATAGTGAGACCGTGGGACCTGAACACGAGCAACGGCGTGTCTTCGCCGTCACTGCATCCCCGCCCTAAATCCGCGGACCTGTGCTACGCTAGTGAAACTCTAAGTTCTACATGCAGCAGTGGACGCTCCAGCACAGCTGGAAGTATCGCCAGCGATTGCTGCACCAGTCCGGATATCATCAATTGCACCATCACCAGCAGCCCTACGACGTCAGCGGCGCAGGTGAGGCACCACGCCGCTGTTGTCAGTCAGCACCACAGGCACTTTTCGTCGGCGCAAAGAGCGGCGTCATCGGGGAAGGGATCCTCGGCGTCGGGTGGCGGGAAGACTCCAAACACGTCCCCGTTGGATGCGCTATTCCAGATGACGAGCAAGACTTTCGAGGAGTTGAACGGAGAAGCCGTGTCGGGTAAGTCTGCCAGAATGCTCGAATGTTTTCAGCCTCAGCTTTATAGGCTACGTAATGTAAAATGGTTAACATCGTGTCTCGTTTGAAAAATAGGCCGAGAATTTTAATGCACAAAATATTTACAATAATCAGACTAGGCCTAATATGGAGAACTGCGATTGTAAATTTAGGCCAGTCATATCAAGCTATAGGCCTATGCTAGGCCTACTGTTTGGGATCATTTGGTGGTCCATAAACTTTTCAGTAACTACGAAGGCCTAATTTGAGTAACTCTTTTTAATTAGCTCTCCTTTGACGTGTAGCCTGTTTTGTTGGCTCTACTTTGGTCTTCGGTCTTCAGTGTCGCGTTATCTAGGCTTGTAGACCTATGAATCGTCATAGGCTGAATGAACCATGCAGAAACGTGTTGTTATTTACAGATTAAAAATTAGTCTTTTTCTTCCTAATATTTGGTGTCTGCTTACAACTGCACACCGCGTTACAACACAGAAGTCCAACCTCGACATTTTCACCGCCGTGAGAACCTCAGAGCTCACTGGCTTCATAGGCCTTTCTAACATTCGTTCTACGGCTCTTTCCACTATAAAACTGGCACACTGGCACCACACCAATTACAGCCGAGAAGAAACAAAGAAGAAAAGAATAGAAAACAGACCATATTTGGATTTAGACTAATTTGGTTACTGACATGACATCGCAGATTTTTATACTGAAATAATGATAAACAGGTTTAGTATTTGAACTAATACACTGTTCAACATTTTCGAACATTTGCTGATTTTTAAAGAAATACAAAAGGCTTATAGGCCACAGGCCTGCATATGCACCAAGTTATTTTTCTTTCGACAAGAGTGACGAATTGTTAAATAGACCTATTCAATCGCTTAATAAAATTGATAGCCCATTTTAGCTTAATTTATAGGCCTATAGTCTATAGCTATATCACAAACAATATTTTATCCAAACATATTCAACATAAGTAAATGGCTAGAGAATATGTAGGCTAGTGTCTGTTGGTTGCAAATAATCTATAAAATTTACATAATAAAATATTGGATTTCCGGGAAACGTAATAAATTTTCTTTCTAAATACATCCCGGTGTATGATCAAACCGTCAATGAAATTTACCTCCCCCCACCAAATAAAAAGTCCTGATATAAGTCACGTAAAAAATTATAACTATTCAGGGACAGCAAGGCATATTAAATTTAGAAAAATGCGATGTTCACTTAACCGTAGGCGTGGGAGTACAAGTCAGGATTTAGCATAAAGTGTATGGCCATGACATTCTACTGAGAATAACAGAATGGTGTAAAAGTTTTAGTAAGAATAGTTTCCAGCATGCTGCTTTATTAAAAATGGACATAGTTAAACTATTCATGTTTCCTTAGATTTCATTGAAACACACCTAGAAATACCGAAAAATAAATACAGAAGACCACATTAGGCAGTCTCTAATGGCCCATGCAGTCATTTTCTCTTATTCTTAAGGCATCTTTTTTTTCTCTCCCCCCCCCCCCCCCCCCGTTATCTTTCTATCCCACTGACAAGTGTCCACGTTCTAGCGGTCCATATTTTCAGCGTCATCATTTGTGACAATATCACGGAGAAGGAAGCCATTATGAATTCATATTACCGTCTGGCATAACACGGAATATTATCCAAGTCGAGGACATTCATACCGTACATACAACAAATTATACATATACAACGATATATATTTAAATTGTATTTTCCATTTGGCAACATATTTTTTTAAATGGAGGTCACACATCTAACTAAAATAAATATTTTTCATCCTAATATAAATTAAAC